GCCCTTCGCCATTAGATTGAAGTTGGAAATTTCCATAGCCTTATTCAAGTTGTTGGGGGGTTTCCAAAGCACCGTTAGTTCCTCCGGAACTAGACCTACCTACAAATAAACAAAAACGAATAATCACGATTATCACTTTCCCATCCGGCTACTAAGCATCGAACGCAATGCAATCAGGAATCAAAAATCTTACCTGATGGAACTTCCACACGAACACCGTGGATTTTTAACGAATCTTCCCTATAATGATTCTTGCAGCAAAGATGGAATTGGCACCGAATCCAGTCAACAATTCCATCGTCTCCCGATTACTACCACGAAGTTTTTTCCAGTGAAATACAAGTTACAAATACATTTCACTGTATCATCCTGCCATCAACACTGCGTATTCGTGTGTATCTCTAGGTTAAAGTTGTGCCGGAAGCTTTCCTCGAGCAACCTACATTCTGTCAAGTGTACGACGATTACTAGCACTGAAAGATTGAATAAAATTAGGGATTTAAAGGAACTAGATATTATACTTACGCTTTCGTAGCATTTCCTTTTGGTTCATCCAAATACTCATCTGCTGCAGATCTTTCGAACGCCATTCAAATTGGGTGCGATGATCATCCAGGGTAAGACCTTTTGGCACCCTGAAAGGCGACGCTCGGTTTTGACGGTGGCAGTGATTGGAATCGTAGCTGTTTCAACTGTGATAACGAAAGGTGATGTTTTGATTTTGTAATACAAGGTTAAGTTTGATTCACTGACGGCACTGGTTACAGAAAACCGGCAGTGGTGCTAGATTTCGGTTATCGTTATGTTTAGACTATTATCATCGAATTCAGTTTATTTTTTTTTTGCAAGTTTAAATCTATTCAATTTGTAGATCGAGTATGGAATTTACGCGACAGGTGAATTCCACCTCCAAATCGCGGGCAACACTCAGGGGCAGCATCTCCAGACGTGATGTTAAATACTGAGCGAATGCCTAATGGCGCCTGCCATTAGCTCCTAGTGGAACAGACACCATGTCCTCAACTTTGTCAAGGATCGTATTGATCCGGACGTCGATAGGATTCACCTTCCTTCTCTTCGGCTGTCTTTCTTCAATTTCCGTTTCGTTTCCCTCTTGGGTTGACCAAGCTTCCTCAACGAAACTTTCTTCGACGTTCGGCTCCGAACTGGATGGTACATCTTCTGTTGGCGAAGGATGGATTTCCGGGATGCGATAATTACCAGTCGTACTGAAAAAACGTAATAAATCATTATATTTCCAAAATTACTTCAAATGCAGATAACTTACGACCGAAATTCACAGTGGCGCTCTAGGAAACTCAGTTCATCATATAGCAACCACTTGCAAGCATACATTTCATCGCTGCCTGCTCCGGACGCAGATGTCTTGGATACCTTGCGGTTTTCCTTGACGAATCTGTCACGAATATTTTTCCACTTTCTTTTTGCTTCAGTTTCTACAAGTTAAAAAATACAAAAAAATAAACTAAAGAAAACTAGGCACATAGAGATTACTGTTTTACTCACCACTAATATCCATTTCATTAGCCACATCTCGCCAAGCTTTGTCCTTTTTCCCGGCGTTCCGAAACTCTTTACTTGCTTTTGCGTAAATCACCGGATATTTTTTCACGCAATTCACCAATTTAAAATTGAAATCCTCCAATATAAAGGAAGCACTTTCAACTTCACTGCCCGAAAGATCCATTTTTTTTTATTTAATCTTCTTTTCCGGCCTTGCCGCTAGCGCTTGTTTTGATAGTTTTTAAAAAAAGCGCGGTTTAGTACAGTTCCGCTTTTGCCGTTCCGCCTTCATAGATCAGTGCACGGTCCCTAACCTCACTTTTTACTTCCTATCATTTTGTCTGTGAGTAAAAGAGATGGCAACGAATGGGAGCCAAAACAAACCACCCAAAACTGTCAAAATTTACGTGAGAGGGAAGAGTGCGGCAAATCTTCGTGCACTGATCTATTGTGAGCTATCTTATCCACTTGCATGCAACCAAAAATTATATTTGCCGCCGCTTGCCGTTGCCGTTCCGCTTCCGCCCCCATTGGGTTCGGCCCTTAAAGGAGTTACTTCCAGAACCGGGTTCTGGTCTACGAGACAGACATGTGTCAGAGATCACGGTGGGAGTTCCACAAAGCACCATCCTTGCTCAAACGCTCTTGAACGGGATGTACAACAGCGTGCTAACGCTGAAGCTGCCCAAACAAGTTGAGATCGTTGGCTTTGCGGACGACGTCGTCTCACAGTAACAGCAACAAACGAAACTAACGATTTTAAATTGGCTCACCACTTTAGTAGCCTATTGGTCCCAAGCAAACGATTAACGTACCCTATTCTAGTTGAAAGTCTATTACTACACTATGTTTATTTTGATTCGCTATGAAAGTTTGACAGATAACATCAGGAGTGTGTGGATTCATGCAGAACATGCAGGGGTGAGTGAAATAGCTTGGGACTGCTTGGGACCGTTGTTCTGGTACTGAGTGAGCCAAAAATAATAATGATTTTCTTCGGGACCCAGTGGTCTTAGAGTTACCTCTATGGTAACAGGCAAGACGCTGGAAGAAATGGAAATGTTGGCGACAGAGGCGATCGACAAAATTGCAAACTGGATGCATGGATCTAAGCTGCAGATAGCCAACAAAAAATAGAAGTGCTTTGGTTAGTAACTTTAAAGCAGTGCAGTGAACAGAAATCACCGTTGGGAAGCACGTCATAGGTATCGGCTCAACAAACGGTACGCAAACAGTTTTGCCTTTTCGAGACGTTTGGTTTATCCTATGTTGTAGGAATAGTAAACATTTATCAGTTAATGGTTGATCTTGATTTTAAAATCATTTTCGAATTGGGTTGTTTAAGGGGTATTGACATAGAGGTAACTCTAAGACAAGTAGGTCCCGAAGAAACGTGCTCAACTTTTTGGCTCAGCTCTGGTACTATCTTCGGTCCCAAGCTAGTCGAATCACCCCTCGAAACATAGGAAAATCCAATAACCCCTCATTTTATCTGTCAAACTTTCATAGCGAATCAAAACAAACATAGTGTGGTACTAGAATTTTGACTGGAATGGGGTACGTTAAACGATTTGCTTGGGACCAATAGGCTAGTCAAGTAGTGAGCCAATTTAAAATCGTTAGTTTCGTATTGATTGTTGGTATTGAGGTATATTCTGTATCTGTATCTGACAAAATCGGGAAAATAGTGAACCACGATTTTCATTGTTGTGAACCATGAATTCCATGGTGATTTTATGGTAATCGACAAAAATGTATAATGTTTTAACAGTAAATATCATGGTTACAATGGCAATGATAATCATTGTAATTTTATTAGATTTTTTTACGGGGGATCTCAAGTTTAAAAAGATTCAATGGCCGTGTACACTGAACCAAATTGTCCATACATCAATGTATGATTATTGCTTCACTTGAGCCCCATACGGATTATTTTTCTATTTGTGAAAGATTATCATTCTCTGATTCAGCTCTCAAAGCACAGAAGAACTGAATAGCATTAATTCTAAAACAGGATGATTTTCATTCTGCACGCTGTAAACCATTAGTTCTAAATCAGCATGATTATCATCCATTCTAAGGAAGACTTGTAATGAACAAACCGTATGATAAACATTGAGAAAGATACGGACTCGTCATACAGTTTCAAAATAAATTGTCATGCAATGTTTAAATGAAATATAAGAGCAATCTGAATGAATTGAATGAACTGAATAAAAATTGTGATCATAACGAAATATATCTCTTCTAAATCGTTGGAACTGTAAATTAATGTTGTAAATGAAACGCTTCTGTTTTATAAGTTGAACAATTGTTTTATTCATTTATGATAAAACAACCACACTAAATGCTGCACTGGGCCGGCCTCTCCCCTGGCGTCCCCATCGAACAGTGGATTCGCCGGTTTGGACTCGTCATTCGCGGAATCGAACCCAATCACGTTCTGTAGGAACTTGTGCAATTTAGGATGTTGGCTCGGGTTGTTTGTGGCCTCGAAAAGCAGTTTGAAAATGTTGTCCAAAATCTGCTGGAACGAGCTCATCACTGATATCACTGGAAGATAAATTTGTTTTGTTAGAATCGTATTGCTTGAAACAAAGGACCTCCCTCCCAGTAACTTACTGAAGTCTAGGAACTTGAATCAACCAGCGGATGTTGTTTTGATTACACGTTTCTGTCGATGGCCACTTGGCCAGTTTGTAAAACTTCACTCGTTCGGCGACTTGCCGTAGTACGAAAGAGGCAGTTCGGCGTTATGGTACTTGCTTTCCTCAAAGTCGCTGACCACCTCCTCGAGGGGGGGGGGGGGGCTGGATCGCGAACAATCCACGGGCACTGAACCATTCGAATCAAACGGGAACGGAACGAGTAGATATTTTTTTGTCACATGAATCCGAAAACTTTTTTCTCGCTCGCTTTTTGGTGACACTCCCCGTGGTATGCGAAAAAACTGTGTACTGCTATTCGAGAGAGTCGCAACAAGCTGCGAAATAATGGTAAGGCCAAAACGCAATGGGAGACTGAAACGATATGAAAATGAATCGCATGACAATAATTGTTATGTATGATTTTCATTATGGGGTTCACTTGGATGATTTTAGTTCATTTCTGTTCTTGAATTAATTTATTGTTAATACCTTTCAAAATTTGAACGGTACTTCATTAAGTGGTTGATGTTATTTCCTTTTATGATATGTATGATGAATCATCCAATTTAATGTCAATTATCAGTCAATCGGGTATCTCATATTATTTTCGATGTTAAAGAAATCGGATAGCTCTGAATGATTAATCATGCAATGACAACATGGTAAATTCGCTCAGTGTAGAGCGAAACTTTACGTATATAGTATATGGATTACCTGCTTGTACTAAATTTTCGAGCACAGCCCTGCGGCGAATCGAAACTGTCAAAACTTTGCATCATTTTTTTCCTTTTCCTGGAGAAAAATCGAAACAAAAATGGCCTGCCGTCGTCGTCCTTGTTGCAGTGGGTGCTTCAGCTTCTCGTAGAGAAAAGTGATAAAAGTCGCAATTTTCACCACCGTATCGGTCCGAAAATAGTTCCATCGCGCGGTGCTCAGTACAGTACAGTGTGGAAAATGTTTTCCGTGCGCCGGAATTGGGTGGTAATGTGAGCGAAATCGGAAGAAAAATAAAATAGAACACAGAGAAGGGAGTCCTTCAGCAGCAGCAGCTGCTGTTTCCTGCTAGCACAGGCGACAAAGGAAAAATCGATAGGCTCTTCGGTTAGCACTCAGGGGGGGGTTTCTTGAAGACGAAAAAAATATCCTGTGGGTTATTTTGCGACTTGACTGAAGTGTTTCGAAACGATGGAAGTTATCGCGCTGAAACTAGGTGGGTAATACGAATAGTTTGATGTGATTGTAGGGATTTGTTTTAAATGAATCAGCTTCGCTGATGAGATAACTGCGTAAAATGCTATAATTGGAATTTTCATTGTAGAAAATCCGGAGGTGCTCCGGGGAGTTGGTAATAACAATAATAATAATCCCGCGGGTAGTTGCGATAAGATTGATGATAAGCTGGTGGACGGGCCGATAGCAGCGGCCATGACGAGCAGTATAGCGAGCATTCTGGACGATACGACTCCGAGCGATTCCGGCGTGCAGTTGCTGGATTCGGAGTCGAGTGGACTGAACGAATCTATGATCTCCAGCGCGGGTGGATTCGAGTTCGAGGCTACGAATTTGCAAAACAACAACAACAACAACAATGAAAAGGCGGAACTGGAGAGTCCGGTGAAGGAGGAGATTGGTAGATTTGTGGAAATCGATATCCAGAAGAACGATGGAGTCGTCGGAGGTGGGGCAGAAGTGGAACAAGCGCTGACCAGCAGTCAGATTCCGGACGAGATGATTTCGAGCACTTGTTCGACGTTCGATGCGGAGAATATTGTATATAGGAGAAGGGTGAAGAAGACAGCGTCAACTGCTAGCAAAACCCCGAAGAAGCGGGTTTCTTTCCACGAGGATATACTGAAGAACACTAAGACGGACAACATTCACATTGAGCATGGATTTATCACGTACAAAACGGGTGCGAACAAGAATAAGCAGCATGTTGGTGTGAAGGGCCGGTACTCCTGGTGTTCGGAGTACGATGACGATGGGTTTGACTATGGGGATGAAGAGGCCGGAGATAATCGGCAGTATGTGTACAGAAATGCGTGCTCCGAAGTGCTGGATTATGGGAAAACAGGTGAGTCGTTAGCGGAACTATCAGTCAGTAAATAGAGCACTTACCCACATATTTCGTTTTTAGTAGATGTCTTCGAGAACATCGAAGACCAGAAGAACTACGTCAAGTACGACAATTCGGGCATCTTCGAGTATGGGCCACCGGAGAAGCGCGCCCAGTCAAAGCGCGGGGCTAAAGATGGCAATGAATTCTACAAGTGCAGTTGCTCGGACTCGAACTCCAGCCTGGACTCGGGAAGCAGCAACGAAGGAGCTTCGAACTACAAACAGCAAGGCAAATCCAACAGCTGCGAATGCATCGGCCAGAGCAACAATAACAACAATATCATTTCCGACAATTGCTACTACAGTGAACCGAATATCGAACATCTGGACGAGTTCAATGGAAACAGTGTTGGAGGGGGAGGCGAGCGGATCGTCAAGTCGGTTTGGAGCAAGGAGAAGAAACCGAAGAGCAGCTGCCTGAAGAAAACCAAACGGAACATGATGTACACAAACGTCGTCGTTCCGGAGTACGATCTGACGAAGAAGGTCAAAAAATTCAACGTCCATCATTTGTCCGTGATCGACAATAGTAAGATGATTTTCGGCTCGCTGAAAGACATCTTCGGGATTTCACTACCCGAACGTGGCGTCCCGGAAGGATCGGAAGACCTCTCAACAGTTAAGGAGTGCATTCCGGAAACCAATGATTCCATGATCGACGATTTCACCGTAGTTCAGAAGCCGAAGAATTTCCTCTCCAAGAGCCTGGACGGCGGTTTCGGTGGCAACAAGCTGAACGGTCAGAAGAAGTACGTTCACAACGTGGACGAGCAGCTGCGTCGGAAGAACGACGAAGATTTATACGCTCCCAGTCGGAAGAACAGCGTCGAAGATGAAAAAGAAAAGCAGCAGCAGCAAGCCGTCCAAAACGAACCCGAAGAGTTGCCATTGGACGCTGAGCTGGACGTTCAACCGGCGAAGGCTCCGTACCGCAACAAGTACATCATCAACGGGGAGAGTACGGTGTTTGAGCACACCGGCGTGTCCTATTGCTATGAGGACGCCGAGGGCAAACCAATGATCGGCGACGGTGAGGGTGCCGGTAACGAAGGAAGCACCCCTAAGGAGCTTCCCATTGGGGAATTGACGGGCGGTTCGTTCATTGGCAAGACGCAAATCAAGAAAAAGCTATCGAACATTTTCCAGAAAATGAACGTGATCGGCTCGAATGCATCGACGCCGTCGGCTGCAGTGGCTCCGCCTCCGTTAGCAATAGCGCCCGCCCCTCGCAGCGGTGGGGATGGATTGGAAGTGGTTGAAGATGTCCAGCAAACGGTGGGATCGAGAAAGTCATCCAGAGATGAGCTGGATGGCGTCGTGCTCGAAGACACGAAGAAAGCCGTGCAGCAGCAGACTCGAATGGAGAGCAGTACCATTTCATCGTGTGGAAGCGACCACAGTTCGTCGATGCAGTCGGACAGCAGGGAACAGCAGAAGGGAGGTGAGTAAGAGATTTGTCATAGAACGGGATTTTCGGCTGGGGCCGAAGGGTCTCAGGATTTTATAAACTTTTGCCCACTATTTGAGTTTATGGTTATGCGAATTAAAAAAAAAAATTAAAAAAATTCGAGGGTGTTAATTTTCCCAGAAAATTTTAGTTAAAATTTTCGGATTTTCCCGGATATCATTAGCAAATAATGAAACTGAAAAAAATCGTTTTCGTTTATATAACCTGTGGGCAAAAAACATAAAATTTTGAAACCCCTCGACCCAAATCCCCAAACTGTTGAAATTTTCAACTGAAGCACCAATTTCTTTTCCAGCCATCGTCCGCGATCAACAGCCGTACAGCAGCAATCTCAGCTCGCCACGAGGCTCCATCGGCAAAAATCGCCACCTGTCGTCTCCGTTGCGCAAAAAATCTCTCACCACCCGACTGGAATCGCGCGTCCGCATGGGTCCGGACCTGTTCAATCTCGGCGGATGCCCGCCGGCTCGACATCTGAACATCGATCGTCAGCTCATGTCCGAAGAATTCGACGACATTCTCACCGTGACCACTACGGCCACCACCGACACCGACAAGGACAGCAACGATATCGTGATTCTGGACTACCCCTCCAGCAGCAGCACGCCGATTCCGCAGCCGGATGTGGAATTACTACCGGAAAAGGTTTCCTTTGTACCGCCTCTCGTCAGACGGTACAATCCCATGACCACATCGGCCAGCTCGACGTCCACTTCGAAGAGTTCCCTCATCAATCGATTCCTGCGGAATGTGACTCAGAAAAAGATCTTGGAGGCTACCATCAAGCAGAACAGCTTCTTCCAATCGAAGCTGAGCACGGAGAAGAAGCTTTTCGATAATCTAGTTCCGAAGGGGGTTAAATTGTTAAATCATTCGTTGATTGAAGATCTGAATGCGGAAATTGCGATGGAAATTGAACTGAGTTCCTCGGCTTGCCAGCTGGATCGCATTCAGTTGAATGATTCACACGTGGCGGATGGCGGCTATGGGCTGACACTGGGGGAGATCAAGTTCGACGGGGGTGGCGTTGGGATTGGGGAAATTCCAGTGGAGATTTTCAACGGCAATCGGTTGCACATTTTCCGAAACGAGAACGAGGCGCTGATGAAGGTTTTCAAGCTTTACAATGGGTACAGCCGTGAGGGTTACATGACACCTGTATTGGTCTTTCTGACCGACAAGACGCTGTACGTGACGGACCAGGTTAGGAATAGATTATGCAATAAGTTTGTGCTTCCTTACTCGGAATTGGATGTGATATTGGTGGGACCGTACGGGAATACGGTGCTGTTGAGCAATTCGGCGCGAGATATGCAACAGGTTCTTCTGGCTGGTGGCCCCTACCCGGCGGATGGATTGGTTGCCAGCTTGGAGCTCTGTGCCCGGAGAGGTGGATCGGTATTGCCAGCGGTTGGACAGCTAACTTTGGACCATCTGGCTCCGCTGCAGGCCTTTGTGAGGGATAATTCAAACGTCAGTAGAGATGACAAGTGGAAGTACTACGCGGTGGTGAATGTTCCTGCCGGGACACTGGGCAGCGAGGAAGAACCCCTGGGACCGCACATAAAAGGTCCCTTGATGCATCGAAGAATGTCGCATGCTGGATTCGTTGACCAGTGGGCCGCAGGGTACTTTTTACTGAAGTAAGAGTTTTGATTTCACAGCAGCAGGATGCCAGTGGTAACTAATTGCTTGTTTTCAGAGCCGGAGTTCTCTATCTTTTTGCGGATGCAACTCAGAAGCTACCCACTTGGGCCGTCACCTTGGCCGAGTGCCAAGGGGCTCGACGATCGCTCAACTCAGGTCGACCGTATTGCTTCGAGCTACTGCTGAGAACCGGAGCCTTGCAGCTGGCAGCTCCCGATGAGTACGTAGCGTCCGATTGGCTGCAGGCACTTGTGCAAGCTGCTAGTGGGGTAAGATGCTTGCCCGGAATATGTAGCCTATAACCATTCCATTAAAATCAGATTGCTTCTTCGAAACAGCTCTTCGAACTGCAGGAACGTCGGAAGACTCTGGGCTGTACGCTGATCATGACCTCGAATCACCTGCTAACGCTCCGAGAAGACTTCAGTGCACCTCTGCGGAGAAACAACGTTTCATCAAGCGCGAATTCCAGCATCATGGTATCCCCAGCCAAGGAAAACGTCAATCCAAATGCTCAACAACCGTCTAGTCAACAACAGAGAAAACTAAGCAATTCCAACATGCTGGACACTTGTAGCGAGGTTCGTCCATCTTGCTCGAAGCCATGATCATTTTTGTGTTCCTAAATTCTGATCTGTTTCAATCCCACCCAACAGATAAGTTCAATCCGTTCGACGGGAAGTACTCCGACCCGTTTCAACAGCGACCGCCGCTCAAATTCAACCACCAGCACTCCGACCAAAAACGCCATGTTGCTGCAGGGAGGTGGAACTAGTCACCATAATTCACCCACCCGAAGCAGCCATCGGCGGCGATCGTCGGTGGAAGGCATGATGCTGGGTGACGAACGAAGTCACACCAACATGAGTAGCTTCTACGGCAAGAATTCCGGCGTGGAGGTGCTGACCTGTGCGAGCATTGACGAGATGACGGCCGTCAAGATTCCGGCAGTGTCGTCCAGCTGGTGGTGCATTCTGGTAGGTTTTGTTCTCTCCGGGAAACGAAGTGCGTCACTGACAGACCGGTTTGCTCCTCAGGAATTCGAGTGCCAGGAGGTGCGAGAGAACTCGGACGATCTGGTGGTGTTCTTTTCCACTGGTTCAGAGCAGGAACGGTTCCTCTCGATGTTGGAGTCGATCTGGCTTACGAAAAAGGTAGGAACTTTTTTTAAGGTTTTTTTGTTTTATGCTGTCAACAATGGTGCCGACCACGTTCAGTCTAAATGAAAACCAAGTGAAGAAGGAGAATTCAAAGGGAATTCTGAAAATAATTCATTCTGAGGATAAATCCAAAAGCACTCTTATCAGTATTGCAAAGAAGTTGTGAGAAACGTTTCAAGGAAATTGTCAACGAAGTTTTGAGGTTAATTTCGAAAGAATACTATGGAAAGTTTCAAGGTTGTTCCTGTAATCATCTTTAGAGAACTCAAAGGAGAGTTTCTAGGGAATTCTGAGGATCATTTCAAGGAATTCACGAAACTACTCCAAAAGAATTCTAATGGGACAATTGATGAAATACGTCTGGTTGATAGTGGTGTGAAAGATGAACTAATTTATTTAATTAACATATATTAACATATATAACCAGGCATGGAAAATCATTTGCATTCATTTCATGCATTCATTTGCCTCTAACTTTTATCATTAACAGCATTCCGCAAAATAATGTATGTAGTTTTTGTAGGTTTTGTTATTAGCTACAACTTTTGTTAAAAAGTCAAATTCGTAGCTCTGATGCATGATGAACCAGAGCGAACAGGAGCCACTACTGTTTTTCAGTGAATGTATTTTACATTCACTGAAAAACAGTAACAAGTTCTGCCCGCTCTAGTTCGTGATGCATAAGAAATACAGATTTGAGTTTTCAACAAAAGTTGTAGCTAATAACAAAACCTACAAAAGCTCTTACACATCAGTTACCACCCCATGGCATCATTTTGCGGAATGCTGTCGATGAAAAAAGATAGAGGCAAATGAATGTAAATGATTTTCCATGCCTGGTGCTGACATACTTTTATCATCACTAATTCGATGGTTACTATGCCAACATCCCCCTTAACCGAGAATGCTTTTAGCTCCAATAGCACGTCTTTCGGTTTCGAATTTGGGAGCCGCAATCGCCTTGGTTAGAAGATCCGCCACTTGCTGTTGACTGGCCACGTGCTGCAAACCGATCATGTTCTCCTCAATTTTCTCACCAAACGAAGGGATGACGAATATCAATATGCTTGCTGCGTGGTGAGTAACCAACCTCTCTTTCAGCTGGATGCATCGCACTCTTATTGTCACAAAATATCGTGACCTTCTCAGAAACGCCGGATAACTCCTGTCGTAGTCCTCGTCACCAGATAGCTTCCTGTACTGCTGCAGATACTGCCATGTATTCTGCTTCCGTTGTTCACAAGGCTACTGTGGATTGTCTTCGGCAATTCCATGAAATTGGTCCACCTGACTTCATAAAAACGTAACCAATAATGGACCATGTTTCGATGTCGTTTTCCTAATCCGCATCTCTAAAGCCAGCTAAACCTTCATCTTCATGCTTGCTGTAAATTATCTTCATATCCTTAGTGCCTTTAAGGTACCGCAAAATGCACTTCGCCGTTGTTCAGTGTGGTTTTCCCCGGATCACTACAGAAATGGCTGACTACATTAACGGCAAAACTAATGTCCGGGCGCGTGCATTGCGCTAGGAACTATAAACCTCATACCATCACTCGAAATTGAACTCTCTGCATTTGCTCCCGTTCATCTTTGGTGCTTGGACTCATCTGTTTAGTCAGCTTCTGGTTGTGACATCAGATAACGAATGGTAGCATACCGGACCACAGGCGAGTAGGTCTCTTCGTAGTCGACACCATTGACCTGGGAATAGCCTTTGATAACCAAGCGGGCTTTACACCGCTCTATGGATCCGTCGGGATTTGTCTTCAGGCTATACACTCATTTGCAGCGAAGTGCTTTCCTCCCAACTGGCAAATCGGTGAGCTCCCAGGTCTGATTCTTCAACAACGCTTGATACTCCGCAACCATGGCATTTTTCCAGCAATCGTTTTCCTTGCAAGAAACTGCTTCCTGGAACGTCTGTGGCTCGACATCGCCTGATACATCGCATAACTGTGAAGTTTGTGTGTGTGGAGTATCATGAGGAAGAATACTGAGACCCAAATGAAAATCTTGGTACTTGCCTGGAGTTACGCGCTCCCTCGCACTGCGCCTTACCAACTGTTGTGGGTCCTCTGTTTGTGGAGGGAGCGCAGCAGGTTGAAGATCATGATCGACCAGCATATCATCGGCGTCACCAAATTCGTCAATTCAGTGCCAACATTTCAAAGGGGCGTAATTGCATTTGTAAACAATGGCTTTAGCCGTTGATTTCTCGCAAATAAAAGCTCACTCATGAAAATTGATTGCACCAACAGGTAGAGAAGAATGTTTCCTCTTCCAGCTAGCATTGTTAATTTGGAGGAGTGAGCTTTTATTTGCGAGAAATCGACGGCTAAAGCCTTTGTTTACGTGTGATCTTTTCCTCGGGAGTCACTGGTAGACCCTTGGTCGGTGAACGATTAACGACGTAAGAAGCAGTGGCTACTGCTTCTGCCCAGAATCGCTTTTCAAGCTCGGCATCGAACAACATGCTTCTGGCGCGTCCGGTTCATCCGCTCTGCCAACCCGTTCTGCTCCGGATTATACGGAGCCGTAGTTTCATGGTGGATTCCAGCGTGACAAAAGTACCTTCGCATCGCACGATTAACGTACTCCTTGCCGTTGTCCGTTCTAATTCGCTTTATTCGCTCACCTGTCTGGTTCTCAGCATACAACTTCAAAAGCTTCTAAAACATCCGTCTTTGATTTCAGAAAATAAGTATACACCGTCCTCATCATCATCATCATCGATAAACGTTAGGATGTATCGGCCTTCTCCTAACGATGCTGTCTTCATTGGTCCACAAAGATCAGAATGGATCAACTCGAACAACTGACTAGCCCGGTGTCCTTTCGCCTTGAACGGTTGTCGGTGATGCTTGTCTTGTATGCACGGAACGCATTTCAAAAAAGTTTCGAATTTCATTCCAGTTACCATATTTCTGAGCCGCTTCATGCCGTCTGCCGAAAGATGCCCCAATCGTCGATGCCACAATTGAAAACTGTTTTCCTCTCGTACTACATGGACTGATGGGTTCTTGATTAATTTCAGTGACATAATTAATGGACCTTCCCTAATGACCTTGCACGATTCTGCATCAACGATAACCTGATGTCCACTCTGGCACATCTTGCTTATAGACAGTTATGCTAAATCTGGAACGCATAGCACATTACTCATGGTAATTTCACAAAACGTACCTCCGATATCTGCTTCCAGATTGACGACACTCTTGGCAATGACGGCGGCTTCAGTGCTGTTTACGACATTGATGTTGGCCGACATACTCTCTGCTTTCCTCAAAAACCCCTTTGTTCCGGCACAGATGCGTTGTTGCACCGGAATCGAAAATCCAATCGACATCGTCCTTTGTCAACTGCACTGCGTTGAATGCCTGGCTTCACCTCGGACTTCTTTTTTCTCACTAGGCTTTCTCTGTGACGCATAGTGTCCTTGCTTCTTACACCGGTAACACTTGACCATTGACATATCCACCGATTTCTGCTCCGGTTTTGAATTACTGAAGAACGCACCGCCACTTGACTTACCATTGGTGCCTACCTTCACGTCCTGCAGGATTTTTGCCTTGACAATTTCTCCAATCCCAGTATCATCACCTGCTTCGATAGGCCCTTCATCAGCAGACTCGCCAACCAACTATCGTCCACTTCAAATCCTACCTCCGAAAGCTGGTTTCTCGTTGTGAAAAGCTCGTTCACGTAGTACTCCTGTATCGTTTGGCATATGACTTCTTCTTCACGTTTAGCGCCAACTAGTCGAATTCCCGTAAGCCATCTCAACAGGCCGATCTTCCTTGTGGATCCACTGTGTTCGTAGGTATTTCGTAGGTTGTCCCAAGCTTCTTTTGCTGTTTTGGCATTCCATACTAGTCCGTAGATCTTGGAATCGATGCTCAGGCCAGAGCTGGCAAATGTCATTTTCAATGAAAGATCTCACACGATATTTACAGAGATACTTCTGTCACTATCATTGGATGAGAAAACGATGATAGAGATTTTCTTCAAAATCTCATCGAATTTTTTGTCATGACAGAACGTGACAGTGTTGTGATCATCGTAATTACTAGCTCATTTAATGCTATTAAAGTTACTTGTACCGAGGAAATCTTAATAATGTATTCACTCTACCGATTACATACGGTTGTTAGCTTAAATTCATCTAAATCAGTTAGAAAAGCTGACGTCAAAACCACATAAGAATTATTCTCATGAGTGCTTGATGCCTGCCGGATTGTTTTCCGCTTGGTCCTTCACTGCGCACCATGTCCGTTCCTTGATCAGGATCATCTTGGTCGCGAAAGACCAGGAGCTGTAGTTCTCCAAATTGCGTAAAATTTTCCTTATCAGAAACGATACTGAGCTGCCCGGTGAACGTCCTCCATTACCTTGGACTCTGAAACCAGCTTGAGATCCGCTACTTTCTCCTCCGTTCATTTCCTTCAGAAAATTTCTTAGCGTTTGAAAAAAAAAATTCACACCAAACTTCTGTTTCCTTAGCAACTGTCTGGGCCCTAATGTGACAACTCCGTGCCAACATTTCAAAGGGGCGTAATTGTATTTGTAAACAATGGCACCAACAGGTAGAGGAATGTTTTCTCTACAACTAGCATTGTTGATTTGGAGGAGTGAGTTTTTATTTGCGAGAAATCGACGGCTAAAGTAATTGTTTACTAAATCAATTACACCCCTTTGAAATGTTGGTACTGAACTGATGAAACACGTCTGGTTGATAGTGGTGTGAAAGATGAACTAATTTATATAATTTATTAACATATAGTGCTGACATACTTTGATCTTCACTAATTCGATGGTTACTACTAGAAATATATCATTTGGGTCTAATTCGGATTTGAATTAACGGATTTGAAAACGGTTTTCACTCAAGTGCATGGTATTCCTTATATTTTAAGAAAAAAAAAATCCGAAGCAAATTATTCGTCGCGGTTTCGAAGGAATTCTCGAACTTTTCACTAAATACGACCCACCAA